GAATTCGTTCCCAGGCATACGCCCAAGTCCCATATTTTTTCACGGACCCTCCGGGACCGTCAAATTACGGGTCTGGGTCCGTTTACCCAAAATATTGACCGAAGTCAACTTAAATTCATTTTATAGGCAAAATTCATCATTTTTACAGATTTTTCACATATTGGTTTTCTGGTTATGCGCACGGACTGCGCATGCAAATCGATGTGATGTAGAAAGAGGTTTTTTTAAGGCCTCGGAACATATAATTTGTTTTTAAAACAAGTGATGACCTTTTGGGCCATCACATTCTCCACCTCTAAAACAATCGTTCGTCCTCGAACGGACATAAGATGGAAGTACCTAAGTCGGGGAAAAGATGGGGATAACGGCTCCATATGTCGGACTCGGACTCCCAGGTCGATGCCTCAATAGGCTGACCTCTCCACTGAACACGAACAGAAAGGAAACTCTTTGATCTCAACTGACGAACCTGCCGGTCTAGAATAGCCATCGGCTCCTCCTCATAGGACAAGTCCTCGTCCAACTAGACAGTGCTGAAATCTAACACGTGGGATGGATCGCCGTGATACTTCCGAAGCATGGATACATGAAACACTGGATGTACGGCTAATAAGCTCGGCGGCAACGCAAGTCTGTAAGCCACCTCTCCCACTCGATCAAGAATCTCAAACGGGCCAATAAACCTAGAGCTAAGCTTGCCCTTCTTCCCAAATCTTATCACGCCCTTCATAGGTGACACTTGAAGCAATACCCGCTTACCAACCATGAATTCCAAATCACGAACCTTACTATCGGCATAACTCTTTTGCCTGGACTGAGCTGTACGAAGCCTATCCTGAATGATCTGGACCTTGTCCAAGGCATCCTGCACTAGATTCGTACCCAATAACCGAGCCTCTCCCGGCTCAAACCATCCAACTAGCGACCGGCACCGCCTACCATACGAAGCCTCATAAAAAGCCATCTGGATACTCGACTAGTAGTTGTTGTTGTAGGCAAACTTTGTTAAAGGCAAAAACTGATCCCACAAGCCTCCAAAGTCAATGACACAAGCTCAGAGCATATCCTCCAAAATCTGAATGGTCCGCTCGGACTGCCTGTCCATCTAAGGATGAAACGCTGTGCTCAACTCAACACGTGTGCCCAACTCTCGCTAAACTGCTCTCCAATGTTAGGTAAACTGCGTACCTCAGTCCAAAATGATAGACACGAGCACACTATGAAGACAAACAATCTCCCAGATATAGATCTCAGCTAACCTCTTGGAAGAATAGGAGACTGCCACAGGAATGAAATGTGCTGACTTGGTCAGCCTATCAATAATAACCCATACTGCATCGAACTTCCACTGAGTTCGTGGGAATCCAACAACGAAGTCCATAGTGACACGCTCCCACTTCCACTCAGGAATCTCAATCTTCTGGAACAAACCACTAAGTCTCTGATGCTCGTAATAATGTCCTTTTTTATTCTTCTCCACCAATAGTGTTGTTGCATATCCTGATACATCTTTGCGGCACCAGGATGAATAGAGTACCGGGAACTATGGGCCTCCTCTAAAATCAACTCTCGAAGCCCATCCACATTAGGCACACAAACTCGACCCTACAATCTCAAAACTCCATCATCTCCTAAGGTAACTTGCTTGGCACCTCTGTGTTGCACTGTGTCTCTGACGACACACAAGTGAGGATCATCATACTACCGATATTGGATACGCTCCAATAAAGAAGAATGAACGACTGTGAAAGCTAGCACACGGCTGGGCTCAGAAACATCCAACCTCACGAACTGAATGGCCAAAGCCTGAACATCCAAAGCAAGCGGTCTCTCACCGACCGGAATACAAGCAAGACTGCCCATACTGGCTGACTTCCTACTCAAGGCATCGGCCACTACATTAGCCTTTCCCGGATGATATAAGATGGTGATATCATAGAATTTCAACAGTTCCAACCACCTCCTCTGCCTCAAATTTATCTCCTTCTGCTTGAACAAGTACTGCAAGCTCTTGTGGTCCATGAACACCTCACGGGCCACGCCATACAGATAATGCCTCCAAATCTTCAACGCGTGAACAATGGCTGCTAACTCCAAATAATGAACCGGATAGTTCTTCTCATGAATCTTCAGCTGCCACGAAGCATAGGCAATGACCTTGCCATCTTGCATCAACACCGCACCAAGTCCAATCCGAGATGCATCACAATAAACCGTATAAGGCCCTGAACTTGTGGGTAAAACCAACACCGGTGTCGTAGTCAAAGCTGTCTTGAGCTTCTGAAAGCTCACCTCACACTCGTCTGACAACCTGAACTGGGCACCCTTCTAGGTCAACCTGGTCATCGGGGTTGCAAGATGAAAACCCCTCCACAAACCGATGATAGTAGCCTGTCAATCCCAAGAAACTCCAGATCTATGTAGCTGATGTTGGTCTAGGCCAGTTCTTGACTGCCTCAATCTTCTTCGGATCGACCCGAATACCCTCTACTGATACAACATGACCCAGGAATGCAACTGAACTCAACCAGAACTCACACTTCGAAAACTTAGCATACAACTGACTATCCCTCAAGGTATGAAGAACCACCCTAAGATGTTGTTCATGCTCCTCCCGGCTGTGGGAATAGATCAAAATATCATCAATGAAGACTATCACGAACGAATCTAAGTAAGGCCTGAACACTCGGTTCATCAAATCCATAAAAGCTGTTGGGGCATTTGTCAACCCGAATGACATCACCAAGAACTCATAATGCCCGTACCGAGTGCGAAAAGCTGTCTTAGGGACATCGGATGCCCTAATCCTCAACTGATGGTAGCCAGATCTCAATTTAATCTTCGAAAATACCTTGTCACCCTGAGGCTAATCAAATAAATCAGCGATCCTCGGCAATGGATACTTATTCTTGATTGTAACCTTGTTCAACTGTCGGTAATCAATACACATTCTCATTGATCCGTCCTTCTTCTTAACAAACAACACCGGCATACCCAAGGCGAGACACTAGGTCTAATGAAGCTGTTTTCAAGCAAGTCTTGCAACTGCTCCTTCAACTCTCAGGCGGGGCCATACGATACGGCGGGATAGAAATGGGCTGAGTGCCCGGAGCCAAATCAATGCAAAAGTCAATATCCCTATCGGGTGGCACACCCGGCAGGTCTAAAGGAAATACCTCAGGAAACTCACGAACAACAGGCACAGAATCAATAGAAGGAACCTCAGCACTAGAATCACGAACATAGGCCAAATAGGCCAAACACCCCTTCTCGACCATACGTCGAGCCTTTATATAAGAGATAACATTACTAGTAGAATGACCAAGAGTCCCTCTCCACTCTAAACAGGGTAAACCCGACAAGGCTAAGGTCACAGTCTTGGCATGGTAGTCCAAGATAGCGTGATAAGGTGACAACCAGTCCATCCCCAATATGACATCGAAATCAACCATGTCTAGAAGAAGCAAATCTACACGAGTCTCAAGACCCCTAATCACAATTATACAAGAACGATGGACTCGATCTACCACAATAGAATCACCCACCGGTATAGACACATAAACAGGAGCATTCAGTGAATCGTTAGGCCTGACCAGATACGGTGCAAAATAAGATGACACATGGGAGTATGTAGATTCTAGATCAAATAACGCTGAAGCATCTCTGCTACAAACTAGAACAGCACCTGTGATAATTGCATCGGAAGCCTCAGCCTCGGGCCTGGCTGGAAGAGCATAACATCGGGGTTAGGTCCCACCACCCTGAACTACATCTCTAAGATGGCCTGCTGTTGGCTGGCCTCCACCTCTAGTGGCCTGAGCTCCATCTCTAATACCTCTACCTCCACCTCTAGCACCTCTAACCCCACCTCTAACTGGCTGGGCGGGCTATGGAACACTCGATGCCTGAACCATGGCACGGGAACCCTGATGCTGAGAGCTACTCGGTGCTCGAGGGCAAAACCTAGCAATATGACCCATATTACCACAAGTATAACAGGCCCTCGGCTGCTGAAACTGCTGATCCTGATGACCTGAATGACCACCCCGAAAACTCTGGAGTGGTAGTGCACTAATAGGATTTGGTGGTTCACTGTAGGATTACTGATCAGAATACTACAAATGAGAATCACGACCACCTGAGGCACCGTGAAAAACTTGAAGTGTTGACTGAAAAGGCCTAGGAGGATGGCCTCTACCATATGAAACCCTACCTCCAGACGAGGTACCACTGAATCTGCCTGAATGAAAAGGCCTCTTGTTAGACCCCTGACCACCTCCATGCGATAGAACCATCTTAACTCACCTGGTCACATTGGTCGCCTCCTGAAAAGAAATCTCACTCTCTGTCTCCTTGGCCATCTGAAGTCGAATAGGCTAGATAAGTCCATCAATGAACCTCCTCACCCTCTCTCTCTTGGTGGAAAGTATGATAAGAGCATGACAAGGCCAAGTCGATGAATCTGGTCTCATACTGAGTAACAGTCATAGAACCTTGCTAGAGACGTTCAAACTGCCTCCAATAGATCTCTCTCTAAGTGATAGGGAGAAACTTCACTACAAAAAACGGGCCTAATTACGGGGGTTATTTTTAAGGTTTGCGGCGGTTAGAAACCCCCGCAATATGTTGTTACGGCAGTTGCTAAAACCCCCACGATAAGAGTCACCGCAATCAATTTGTGGCAGTTTTTTACTGACCACCAGAACTAAGTAGCGGCGGTTACTTTGCGGCGGTGGACCCCCGCAAATCTAAAATTTTAATCTTTCTAAAATAATTTTCAATTGTGAATTGTGGCGGTTTGAAACCTCCGCAATATAATTTTTAAATTTATTTAGCTTATATTTAAAGCACCTGCAGTCATAACCTCGGATTCATTAAATTTTTTGAATTCATATATTATTGACAAAATCACTAATTAAGTTGTAAATCATTATCAAAGCAAAATAAATAAAATATTTTAAAGTTAAGAGAAATCCATAACATATCATAAAATCATAAAATATCATTAGTCTTTAAAAATAATTTGTCAACATTAAGTAGCATCATTAAACTCAAAAACCAAATTTAAACACAAAACATTCACTCCAACCACCTAACTATATTGTCATAATTAATTATCTAAGACAACTATAATAAAATCAACGGTTGTCACTAGAATTACTATCACCATATGATCTTCTTGCGCCCATGGGTGAAAGGGGTCCATTGTCCGCATCACTTGGCTGCATAAAAAGAAAAAGCAAAGTATAAAAATTCTATAAGAGGCGAAAGTGTGCATTTCTAAAAATAAATTGAATTTCATAAATTTCAAGGAATAAAAGGTTAAAATGTGAAAAGTTATAAGGGGGAACAAACAACCCCACGCAAAATGCAAGCTGGACATTACCGTAATAAAAAATAAAATAAAAAGATGTTTAGTTACTACTGTATATGTAAAGCAAACGTGAAAATATAATCTTATGTGATCTCAAGCTCAACTCTTATTGCCTAGGTAAGCATGAAGCAGGATCATTATGTTAGCGATTTCTGGGAGATTGTTTTCTATCAGACCGATCCACACATCATCCGATCTGCTCCAAAGGATGAATGACTGAGAAACAGAAATCAAAACAATCTCATTATCTAGTTTCACAAACTTGGTATTAGCTATAGTTTTATAATTGCAACCTATTGAAAGAATAGGTTTGAGAGCTTTTTGTTAGTCAATAAGATTGTGTTCCCATTATTTCTCTCTTGAAAACAAAACTACAAGAAAGAACAGGGCTTTTTTTCATGTTTCATGGTTTATTTCTATTCTATCAATCTTGGCTTTCCCTTTTTTTTCTTGGTTCGACAACCGTATGGTTAATTCCAAGGTGAGGGAAAATGACAGTAAAATATTGTTTGCTTCCATTAGCTAAAGAAAAGTCTTTGTGTACTTCTGGACAAGGGTAATTCAAAGTAAAAAAGGGTGAATACGTTTGTCCTTTTGGAGTAGCCAAAGCTTATATCAGGATTGTCCAAGTACCTTCCCATTATTTAACGTAGTTATTTAATTCCTACCTAAGCTATAGTCCCTGAAAACTACTCAACTCGTGCAAATATATATATATATATATAGTCTCAATCTCTTGGATAATTCTATTGGTACTCAAACTTCTAGGAATTTTTATCCTATGTGTATACTAACAATAATATCACCCATGCTACTGCTCTTAAATTGAGTAATCATGTTATCTCATTATTCCTTAGATAACCCCAAAAATTCTTGATAATCAGTCCACATTCGGCAGAATATAATTTGCAATAATCACTCCATATACCAATCATCACAAAGCTTGGAAATAGTACAGTTATTTTCCTGGAATGTACACACTATTATAGCAAATTAGCTATAAGAAGAATGCTAACTAGCTATTAGAAGGACTGAGAAAAGAGATATTTGTGCAGATATACTGCACATTATGCTCCTAATTTTATAAAATTATGCCCAAATCAGACAGTGCAGTAACTCTAGGTTCTACAAGAATAGGACTAACCTAAGCCACTCTATCTTTACAAACAAACAAATTTAAGAATTGAAGAACTTTACTTACTGTTGTGGGAGAAACAGTCGAAGGAGAAGCAAAGAACCTCGCAAACTGTTCTGGTATTGTCCCTTCTTTCATTATCATATATACCTTGAAGCATTCATCATTTGATTGAGAGCATTCATCATTTGATTGTAAGCATTCATCATTTGAATATGGTTCTGTTGGCATTGGGACGAACATGAACCTTCACTACTTGAAGCACTTGTACCACCAAAATGCGGTCTTACTTGTTTAAAAACTCTACTGGGGACAGGTCCTAATCCCAAGCACCTCACCCTTTCAGAGTGCTCTTTTACTAGCACCTTACCAATGACATCATTTGGAAAAATTTGAGACTCGTCCATAGTGCTTTGGCTCAAAACTAGCTCGATTGTTTCCTACACATACATAACCCATTATTACAATTAAACCAATAGGAATATGTAAAGAGACTAATTAAACCAATAGGAATATGTAAACCAATACAAAATTCAATTTTTGCCAACTAATTCTTGAGAAATATTTTTAGTACGTTTTTAGTTTGGGTCCAATTTGTGAAGCATGAAATATGTAAAGAGACATTTCTTGGCTCCCTTTTCCATAAACTTGTTTGAGTAAGTTGGCAGTTAGAGTTCAAATTGATAGTTGACGAATAATGAGAATCACCATGAGCAAGAATGGAAAAGCAGGGTACCGAATTTCCTATGACTGATATGAAATAGAAGAAGTGATATAGGAAATGGACAGAGTTAGCTAATTCACTTGTTTAGGCTAATGACAAGTTTCTATAAGGCATGCAATAAGTCTTTCAATACGTTTGTGATCTCAAATGATCAGGTTTTCAGATACAAAGACCAGTATTAGCCTGCTTCAGTTATCTAGCTTACTCCTTATTCCTCATGATTTCTTTTTTGAGATAAGCTAAGAATTCACAGAAACTTACGCATATTTCTTTTGATTCTTTATACCGGTAATCAACAAAAGAAATCCATTGATACCGCGGAACTCCATCCGGTACATTATCAATAATCTCAGCTCTACTTTTAAGTGGGTCTTCATATGCACTCCACAAGTTAAGCTTATTTGCAGCCCATTTCTTTCCAATAGATTTATAAACATGTTGCCGCGTAACTGACTCAGTTTTCTTAAAGAAGAACTTGGGCTTCAAGAATAAAACATTTGTTAGCATATCTATTACATGCAAATATAAAGTTAAAAGACAAAATAGAGATATAGTTGTCCTTCTCCAAAAAAAATACAGTGATATAGCTGTAAGAATATAGAGCTTATACCTTTATAATTTGATCGAAGACGCGGTTGAAGTATGACAAAGATAAACTAGACCATTTCTCACAATGGATTGGAAATAAAGTGCAGTCACACGCTAAAATTCCACAAAAGCCTAAAAGTGGGCTGTGTGCATCTCCAAATGGTTCATCTAGGTAATCAAAATCAACCATGATACGTTCTTCACATGTTAAATTTCGCACTTCCTTGACTTTCACTTTGAGTTTTTTCACATTTTCTTCTGAATCTGTATAAGAAAAGAGATAAGATGAAGCCACGAGAGAGATGACAAATGCTTAAAAGGGACTGCTGAATATGCATTAATAGTCAAAAGTATTTACCTATTGCTTCTACAGTCCAGTGGCTCCCAGAACACTTTCTAGATGCAATCTGAAATGTTGGAGCTGGCTGTAATAAGTTCTGATCTATTAGAGCCGGATGTGATATCGAGTGAACTGACCGAGATGGCAGTGATGCAGAATAAATTGTTGGCGCCGGCTGTGATGCGACTTGATCCATCGGAGCTAACTGAGATGTTGAGTGAACAGATTGAGACGGCTGTGATGTCGGCTGAAATGTTGGAGTCGCGTGCAATGTGGGCTGATCCATCGGAGCTGGATGAGATGTTGAGTGAATTGATCGAGACATATATGCAATTCAATAATTAATCCTGCTACAGGAAGAATGAATTTAATAAGTAGGCAAAGCATATCCACAAAAAACTTCAAGATAGAAGAATGGTGTGCAAGTCAGAAATGTCGTTATCGCTACAACTAACAATTTTCGGTATTAATTAATAAAACAGGGCAACCCTGTCTTATTCTAAAATATGGTGTTCTGATCTAAGAAATGCCCATAGGATGCTATGAATAAATTCTGTTTTAGCTTCAGAAGTAGAGATGCTATATGCAGAAGAAAGGAATCTGTTGTTAGTTTTACTGAGATGATACTACAGTCCCTCCATTGATTCAGATACTCACATTTTTTTCCAGGGGGAAAGCAAGTCATATCTCGAGGGGCCAAGCAAGTACATATGGTAAAGGATACATGCAAGAAAGATTTACAAAAACAAGAATCTGAAAGGTGCAGAAAATAAGATATACACAAACAAGCTTAACAGAATTCTCAAGGGAACTATTCTAACAGAATTTAACACATCACATTGCATTCATTTAATAAAAAAATTAGTCCGAAACATAATTGAATTCAAAACTGAAGCATGAAAAAGATCAACACCATCAATAGTAAAAAGAATCATATAAAAGAAATCTAACACCAACCTTAGAATCACCATACACACCTATATAAATCCTCATACAACATGGTGTAGAACATTTATATTTCCTATTAATTCAACAAAAAATCTCAAATAAACAAATAAAACCCAAATATAACAGAAAGTACCCAAAGCAATAACAAAAACAAAATTAAAGCCACATGCAATTGAAAAACACACAAACATTACAAATTATACAAACCCAAAAATAGGGAAGATGAAACATCTTTAGAAATAACATTACAGAAAACCAAAAATAGGGTAGAAGAACTTACCATAATTAAAAATACTTGTCGATTGATATGCCAGAGTGAGTGATAGAGATGCCTATGCCACTGCTATAGGGGGGAAAATGAGGAAAATCGATGAAAAACGAGGATTGAGTTTAAATTTTACAATCAGAATGAGAAGTTCATACAAAACTTTTGATTTTAAGAAAATTAAAGTAGAAAGAAGCATGAAATTTCAGTTAATCTCTCAAAATTGAGACCATTACCTTGAGTTGTGGAAAAATGTTAGTAAGAAGTGGCGAAGCTTTTGAGGTTTTGTTATATTTGTATTTTGTTTCAGCCAGAAAAAAAATGAGCAAACAAAAAAAATGTGGGAAATGTTAGCGCTAATTTTTTTCAGATGGTGTAGGTTTTGAGTTGCCGCTATTTACTTATATTGTATCGGTTAACTAAACCCATGCTATTTAATAAAATTTGCAAGGGTTGGAACTGACCCTCGCTATTAAACCGCCGCAATTTAGGTCTTTTTTGTAGTGCTTCTTCAGAAATAGCTGAGTAAACTGCTCTCAAGTCAAAGCTGGATGGTCTAGCCAAGCAATAATCTCTCCACCAAGTCTTGGCAGATCTAAACAAGCGAAAAATAGCAAAATCGACCCCATTGGTCTCCACTATCTCCATATTCCTGAGAACCTCATGACATCTGTCTAGATAATCCTGGGGATCCTCAGAAGATGCAACACTGAAAGTAGTAGTGAAGAGCTTGGTGAACCTGTCCAACCTCCACAAAGCATCGGCAGACATAGCTGCTCCATCACCGATCTGAGCTACCACACCCGGCTGAACTATTCCAACTGGCTGAAAGGTTGGAGTCTGAAATTGGGGAGCCACCTGCTCCGGAGTGCGAGTAGCAGGAGTCTGAGCTCCTCCTCCAGCCTGAGATATGGCTGGGGATACAGGAAGCAAGTCTGCCCAGGTGACACTCTCCATAAGGCCCACTAGACGGACCAGAGCATCCTGGAGTACTGGGGTAGCAATGAACCCCTCTGGGACCTGAGCTGGGGCCACCAGAACTGTCGGGACTGGAACCACATCATCAAAGTCAACCTGATTCTCCACCGCTGGTGCTGCTGCTCTGGGCTGAGCTCTGCCCCTACCTCGGCCTCGCCCTCTGCCCCTCGTGGAAGCTGCTGTTGGGGGCTCAGGCTGTTGGTCAGTGGATGAGGAAGCGCGTGTTCTCGTTATTTGCGAAAGAACACGGTAGAAATTTAATTAGCATTGAGAAAATAGACCGCGCGACAGGAAGGAATAAATGTGAAGTTTTTCCCAACTCTGTAGTCTTTGGGGATAAATACAGACGTCTCTGTACCGATCCCTCAGACTCTACTAAGCTTGTCTGTGAATTGTGAGCTGGGCAAGCCGACCGTTTGAACAATTTACCTTTTCCCATTTTAATCCTTTAAAAGAAATTATGAGCAATAACTTAAAGACAGCGGAATCTATAACCATCAGAAGAAAAACAGTAAAACTACCGAGCATATCCAATACAACTGTTTAAACAAGACCACCCAAAACTGGAGTCACATCTTCACAGACGGTCTAAGAGCACTACAAACAAAGTCTGAAAGATAAATAATACACTATCTTGGAAATACGTAAATGAAACAGGATAAAGGGATAGAGGGAGACGTCAGGGCCTGTGGACGCTTGCAGGACTATCTTGGATCTCCGTATGGATTGAAGGCAGCCACCCAAGCTAAGATCCAAAAGCTGCTGCTCCGGGATCTGCACACAGTGCAGAGTGTAGTATCAGCACAACCGACCCCATGTGCTGGTAAGTGCCTAGCCTAACCTCGGCGAATTAGTGAGGCTAGGACCAGACTACCAAATAAATCTGTGCAGATATACCATATAGAGTGAAAAAGAAGAAGCAGTAATGTACAGTCAAGTATGGGAAGGGGAAATATGCAGCGGGGAAACATCAATTAAGAATAGAAAGACAGCGAGTAAATAAGAGGTACACCATATCTCAGTCATCAACAAGAATCAGGAATCAATTAGTGCACGGCATCACCCTTCGTGTTTTTACTCTCGTCCTCGCCAAAGAATCAACATAAATTGCACGGCAACACCCTTCGTGTTTTTACTCTCGTCCTCACCATATAATCAAGATAATGGACACGGAATTGTACATCGTGCGGCACGGCATCACCCTTCGTGCTTTACACTCTTCCTCACAAATCATACACGGCATCACCCTTCGTGCTTTACACTCTTCCTCACAAATCATACACGGCATCACCCTTCGTGCTTTATCACTCCCTCACCAAAATAATACACGGCATCACCCTTCGTGCTTTAACGCTTTTCCTCACCCAAACAATAATCACAAATAATAGGGAAAGGAAATGAATGAAATTACAATAAGAATCCTGGCAAGGGAACAATAGTTCAACAATCAAGTCCCGGCAAGGGAACAACATCCAAAACATCAACATCCCGGCAAGGGAGCTAGCATTAAAAGCAACAATATCCCGGCAAGGGAGGCAATATAATGATTCTCTTCTTTTTTTCACTTTTACTTCACAACTTGAGCCAATGCTCTAAAAGGATTCGATTACCACTTATGCTTTTACCTTTCATTATACAACTTGAGCCAACGCTCCTCAATGTTCAATTATCACTATTATTTTCACAAACTTTGCCCAACAATAGAAATCATCACCAAGGCATGAATAATACAATGAAGTCATGATAATCATAATATAAGACTCACGGGCATGCTTGACACCAACGTATAGATACTCGTCACCATGCCTATACGTCGTACTCGACAAATACCACATAGCAAATAGGACTCGACTCCTAATCCCTCAAGCTAAGGTTAGACCAAACACTTACCTCGATGCCACGAACACAATTCAAGTCTCAACTATCGCTTTACCTCTTGATTCCACCACCAACTCGCTCGTATCTAGCCACAAGTTACTTAATTACGTCAATAAATGCTAAATGAATCAATTCTAATGCATGAAAATAAGTTTTCCAAAGTTTTACCCAAAAGTCAAAAATCACCCCCGAGCCCACATGGTTAAAACCCGAGGTTCGAACCAAAACCCGATTACCTATTCCCCCACGAACCCAAATATATAATTTGTTTTGAAATCAGACCTCAAATCAAGGTCCAAATCCCCAAATTTGAAAAACCTAAGTTCCACCCAAAACACCCAATTTTCCCCATGAAAATCATTGATTTTGAGTTGAAATCATGTGAAAAGATGTTAAGGAATGAAGAAAACTAGTTAGAAATCACTTCCAATCGATTTAGAGAAGAAATTGCCTTTGAAAAATCGCCCTAGAGAGTTTATGTTTTGAGAAGATATGAAAAATGGTTGAAAATGCGTCTAAGTGTGAATTTACAGGTATCAGATATCGCAATTGCGAACCCTTCAAAAGTTTGAGAGCTTCGCATTTGCGAACAAAATGTCGCATTTGCGACCAAGCACATTTTTTGGTCTTTTTCGCATTTGCGATAGACCTCTCGCAAATGCAAAGTTGCATTTACGATACAGCAGTCGCATTTGTGACTAAGGCAGTAACTGGGGGCATCGCATTTGCGATGGGCACCTCGCATTTGCGAGGTAGTGCTGGCCTGGGCTATTTCGCATTTGCGACTCAGCCCTCGCATTTGCGTACTCGCACTTGCGAGCCAGGCTTCGCAAATACGAAGCCTGCAAGCCTGCAATAGAACAGCTGAAACCTGCAATTTTTTCCAAGTCCAAATTCCACCCCGTGGCCTATCCAAAACTCACTCGAGCCCTCGGGACTCCAAACCAAACATGCACACCAACCTAAAAACATCATACGAATTTGCTCGTGCATTCAAATCATCAAAATAACATCAACAACTATGAATTTTGCATCAAATCATGAAATTTCTAAAGAATTTCAAATTTTTCAATTTTTCTCAAATAAGGTCCGATTCATATCATTTCAAGCTCATTTCTTACTAAATTTCACAGACTCATCTTAAATCACATATAAGACCTTTACTGGGCTCAGGAACCAAAATACGGGCCCGATACCATCAAGTTTTAAACACATTTCATTTCTAAAAACTCATAATATTCTAGAAAATAATTTTTTATAAAAATTCATTTCTCGGGCTTGGGACCTCGGAATTCGATTCCGGACATACGCCCAAATCCCATATTTTTCCGTTTGCCCAAAATATTAACCAAAGTCAACTTAAATTCATTTTATAGGCAAAATTCATTATTTTCACATATTTTTCACATATTGGCTTTCCGGCTACGCACCTGGACTGCGCACGCAAATCGAGGTGATGCAGAAAGAGTTTTTTTAAGGCCTCGGAACACATAATTTGTTTTTAAAACAAGTGATGACCTTTTGGGTCATCACAATAGGTTTTCCAATGATTTCCCCAAAAAGTCAAAAATCGACCCCGGGCCCACATGGTCAAAAATTGAGGTTCAAACCAAAATCCGATTACACATTTACCCACGAACCCAAATATATAGTAATTTGTTTTGAAATCGCACCTCAAATCGAGGTCCAAATTCCCAAAATTTAAAAATCCTAGGTTCTACCCAAAACACCCATTTTTCCCCATGAAAACCCTTGATTTTGAGTTGAAATCATGTAAAAGGATGGATTAGATTGAAATAAATGAGTTACTTACTAATGATTTGGAAAAGTAGTTGCCTTTAAAAAATCGCCCAAAGATGTTTTAGGTTTGAGAGAGTTTGAAAAATGAGAGATTTTCGGCTAAGTTATGATTTAGCAGGTTGTAGATGTCGCCAGGGTTCGCAATTGCGAACCATTAAGGAACCTACTGACTTTGGAAATGCGAAGGATACGTCACATTTGCGACCATGGGCAATTTCGGTCACCTTCGCAATTGCGAGGGACCTGTCGCATTTGCGACATCGCAATTGCGAGGAGAGGTCGCAATTGCGACCAAGGCCTGCCAAGCCCAGTCTTCGCAAATGAGAATGTTTGTTCCCAATGCGAGCTCGCAATTGTGAAGCCTGCAGACCTGCAACACACAACAGTTTTTCCTAAGTTCAAAACACTTTGTGGCCTATCCAAAACTCACCCGAACCCTCGGGGCTCCAAACCAAACATCCACGCAAGTCCAAAAATATCATACGGACTTGCTCGTGCGATCAAATCATCAAAATAACATCAATAACTATGAGTTTAGCATCAAAATATAAGAAAAATCTCATGAACTCTTAAGTTCCATTTTTAACAACCGATGGTCCGATTCACGTCATATCAAGTCCATTTCTTACCAAATTTTACAGGCTCAACTTAAATGCTATATAAGACATGTATCGGGCTCCGGAATCAAAATACGGGCCCGATACCATCAAATTCAAACACATTTCAATTTCTAAAAA